AAGCCCCGACGGGTTCTCTTCCTTCATTTTGGTCCAGTTCTCCAGAGTCTGAACCAAATCTGGCATGATCGAGAGGATGCCCGTGGTCTGGCAGAAGAGGACGAATCCCTTCTCGGAGCGGTCTATGGAATGTTGATCTTCGTGCCTCAATGCCAGCCTTGTCAGGCTGAGGCAAAGGGCTTTGATCTCCTCCGTCTCCTGGGAGTCCTTGCCCTTGTCTTTGTCCTTGGAGTCCTTCCACCACTCCTGCTTGCCTCCCCATCCAGCGTTGTATCCACCATCGCCGCGCCCGCCCTTCACCCGATCGTAGCGCCGGTACTTCTCGCCCTTGCCGTTGCCATTGCCGTTGCCCTGGTCCGTCTGGGAGCCTCGCTTGTGCTCCCGGTTGGCTGTGTCCATCTCGGCTTGGCTCGCTGCTGGGGCATCCGACGCCGACGAAGGGTTCGTGGCTGCTGGCATCGTAGCTCCCAGGCCCAGGTTCGCTCCCTGGCCCTGCCCCATCATACCCTGTAGGAGCTTGCTCTGCTCCTTGGCACTGATCAGATCCGCCTTCTGGTCCGGCGTCAGTTCCATGATCAGGTGCAGCTGGAGAGTCCTGCCGCACGTCTAGATACCACAGATACAAAAGTCCCGTGCGCACCAAGGTAATGCAAGCTTTGGCGTGACGTAGCCTACTGCAGTGCTGTTTTTGAAAGTCCTGTCGACAGCACTTGCAGGGGCTGAACACAGTGGCTCTGCGCTCTTCGAGCCAACTTGCAAGACCGTCCAGCAAACCTTTCAAATGCGGATGCTGCGTGCCAACATGTCTGGTGAGGTACGTGGGTTTAGCTAACCACTGATTGCAGAAAGGACAGTGACTCAGGTTTGTGTTTCTGACATGGCGGGCCAAGTCTTGCCAGCCTGTTTGGCAAAAACTCTCAATTTCCTGGAACAAGGTATCCTGGTGCTGGTCTGCAGGTGCCAAAACAGAGCTGTGCGGCTCTGTTGGCGCAGCATTTGAGCATATTGCTGCCGGTTCCTCGGGCGTAGCTTCTGTATCCTCAGGGGGTGATGGGTCTTGTGCGCTTTGGTTCTGGAAAGGCTCAGGGAAATCTTGTGGGGGCTGGGTAGTAGATTGCAAATTCGTCTCAGATGGCGGAGTCTCTTGGGTATGCAGCACAGAGCATCGCTTATGCTCAAAATGTGCGCAAAAGGAGGGCCAAGCACTGAAATGCCAGCCACAGTGTCCGCACGTGGGCATGCCCTGCACAGCATGTTGCATGAAGTCCTTGCGCTGTTGCTGCTGTGTTCGACGTTTCTGAGGTGGCCCAGGGACAACATGGCTTTCCTGCTCTACTTTATGTTTTTGCTGGCAGTGTTGGCGCATAGTCTTCAGCGAGCTGAAGTAGAGTCCGCAATGTGGACAGGCTTGCTGTGGAGTTTTGGCATGCACTTCAATAAGCGTTACCTGCGTATCCAGAATAGTAGTAGGACCCCTAGGTGCCTCAGTCAAGCCTGTAGAAAGAAGCCCGGCGCTGTTGGTGCGGAGGTGCAGCCAGCGGCTACGCACTCGCAGAGGTTGCAGACGTTGCATGCGTCCCTTCAGGCAGAGATCAGTGCGTTGCTGAATGCGTTCCTGCAGGTCTTTCAGGGGGTTACAGACACCGATGCGTTCAAGGAACACTTCATTGGGCTCTCTTGTGATAAAGACTGGTTCTTTGAGGACAAGCCTGAGCTGACGCGCCACAACCTTCTGCAACTTGTGTGCCCCTGAGGTTGTCAGGGTGACACAGTCTAGGCTGTACATCGGGCTAGCGTAGGAGCAGGCCTTCCAAATAGCCAGCTTCATGCGTCTGGGCAAACCAACACACCGCAGCGAGGGGATAAGCTTGTTGAAGGCCACCCAAGATTGCTTGATGCGGTGTTGAAGGGTTGCTTGTTCGGGGTGGGCATAAGCTATCCTAGCACCCAAATAGGTATGCTGTTCGACCACTGGCAAGGTATACTGCCCTTTAGGCCCTGACACCGTGATGACTTTGCCCTTTTTGGGGTGCTTCGCCAAATGTTTGGCCAGGGATCTGGCGGCGCTTGTTCCCTTAAGACTTACAAGGACAACCGTTTTCTCCAGACTAGGCTGCATGCCGTATTGTTCAAGTACCTCCAAGATAAAGCCGATAAGATCAACCGCCCGTGTAAGATCCTCAGCACTATTAATTATCCACTGGAACAACCAGTCGTCGGCAAAGGCAACCACCTCGTCTACCGTAAGGCGTTCAAGGAGTTTGTGCATTATGACAGCAGTGAACATGCTCCACAAGGTGGGAGCCAGGCCACAACCCTGGCGAATTCCATTCTGAGTATCAATACAGGCCTGGCTGCCTGCATACGTGAACTTCATTTGCGCGTGGGCGTGGAGGTGCATAATGGTCCACTGCAAGGCCGGTTCTACGCTAGCTCTGCTCAGCGCTTCCAGCAGGTGCTCCCTAGGCATAAGGTCAAAAGCTTTGCGAAGGTCTACGCTTAACATTATGCCTCCTCGGCAGGGTTGTGCAGTGTGTCCTTGTCTGCGCGTATGAGGTGTAAGGGTTTGGGAGCGTAAAATTGCCTGCACTTGCTGGCAGTGGGTGAAAGCTTTGTCCAGGGCGTCCTGGGCCGAGCGATCCGGAAGATACGCAAACTGCGGCAGGGCCGCCAGCAGGCTGTCCGCTGCCGGTTGAATTCGCTGTTTGAGGATCATGGCCAAAGCTTTGGCTATGGGATGAAGCAATGAGATTGGTCGCAGTGCCGATGCCGTCGGGGTTTTTCCTGGCTTAAGCAGCAAGAAGATCTCTGCAATGTTCCATTCCTCTGGCGGGGGCTGTTCCATGTTCGCTGGCCACTGATTCAGCTGTGACGTAAGTTGGGGCGTTTGGGTCTTTGCCGATACCTTCCAAAGAACAGCTGGCGGCAAGTGGCTGGGAACCGCCTTGGCAGGGGGTAGGCTCGCAAGAGCTCCTACCTACTAACTACTACTACTACTACTACTACTACTACTACTACTACTGCTACTACAACTACTGTTCTACTATTACTGTTCTAGTACTACTACTACTCCTACTATTATTATTATTACTACTACTACTACTACCACTACTACTACTCCGACTACTACTAGATCACTGTTGTTATTTGGACTACAACATCACGAACACATTGCAAATACCGAGTAAAATTAAAATGGATGTGTTTTTAAAAACTATGTCATCGGTTTCCCCCCGTCACCCCTCAACAGTGGTGGTTAGTATTGGACTACGATATCACGAACATGCTATAAATACCGAGTAAAGTGGGTGTGCTCTGACACAGTGTTTAGGAGAGGCAACTGATAGGCGGGGCGCGCCCACTACTACTGCTGCTGCACTACCACGGTATGGTCGATTGTCGGGGACGGGTGTTTAGGATGAAGCAGCAATCCTTCAAAACGAAGTGGTTTTAGTCTGGGAGTTGTCTTGGAACGGTCGGGTGTGGTTTCGAGGTCTTGTGGTACCTCAAGCCCCCTTAAACTTTTATAGGTATCCCGAAACCCCCGTACTACCCCTGTACTGTACTGGGCAAGGTCCGAGTCAGCAGAAGGATTAAAAAAACAGCGGAGGGTCAACAAACAGGCCGGACACAAGTCGTCAACACCACAGTCGCGGTCAGACAGGCTCAGATCCACTGTCGGAGGCACCCCAGCCCGACAAAGCAAACATCAAGAGATTGCCCCTGGAAATGTAATGAAATTTGCCCTACTTTTCGTCGCGAGGCTTTTTCCGAGGGCAGCGATATGAGCGCTCACACCCTATAGGGCGCTATCCTGCCCTGAAAACAAGCTCCCCGCTCGAACAGGCCTAGCGTCCCAAGCTCTGAAGGTCCGGGACTCAATACTACCGACAGAGTGCCCATAATAGTGCCCGACAGTGCAAGCACACAGGGACTGTCGCGACAACCGAAAGCAGGACCCGCACTGCCAAGAGCCATGTGCGGGTGCGGAAATCACTACAATCGCTGTGGCTTATGTTGCATGTCTTCCACGTCCAGCCGGCGGATTTCTGATTCGAATCTCGGTGTTTTCGACTACAGCTCTGTCCTGCCTGTGACTCGAGGCCGGACTTTTGCGACAGACAGCTGCCGGATTTCTGACTCGAACTGCCGACAATCGCCCGGATTTGCTGACGCAAGCTATTCTGGTACTCTACTATTGCTGTACTACTACTGTGCTACTGCTGTACTACTACTTCTGTGCTACTATCGTACTACTCCTGTACTATAACTGCAGCTCGCCCTCTACAGGGCCAGCACGCCCCAAGCCCACACCCTCCGGAACCGCGCCTCTACAAAGCTGATCTCCCTCTATACCCCCATCCCCCGATCCCGGTGGAGCGCAGTATTCAGGGCGGAGGAATTTGTTTGGAGGGGGGCGGGTGCCCGCCACCAAAACCATTGCAACATTGAGCTTTAAAGCCCCGCAGTAACGGGTATGAGTGGTGTGGGCCTTTGTCGACACCGAGCTGAGGCCCTGCAGGTGCCAAGATCCCCACCCGCTCGGCACGTCGCTGCCCAGGTTGCCGACCCCGGCCAGACCTCAAGACGAATCTTCATAATCTTCCAGCACCGCCACATTCGCTCCATTGTCTGAGTGCCCCAAGCCCCAGGCATCCTCAGAGCCACTGACAACAAGCGGCTTCCGGTTCATAACGGCTGAAGTTGTTCAAGGTGATCGGTTCAATTTACGTTCCAGTATTTCTAGTCGCGTAGCTGTGGTTTGAAAGCATGCCTGCACCTGAGGCTCCCGAACTCCTCTGACTCTTTTCTCTACGATGCCTCCAGATCTGGCTTCCGTGCAGGCTGTGGTGTGGAGCGTTGTAGTTTGCAGCTATGTTGTTGTTGCTGATGGTGATGATGATGATCATCATCATATTGTGTTTCCACTGCAGAGCCACGCAAATCACTGTCCACGTGCATACAGCTGGATGCCAAATGACTCCCGCTTGCAGCCGCACCTGCGATATTGCTTTCAACACCGTCCAGCCTAAGAGCAGGCGGTCGGTCCATGCTTGAAGAACCCGGCATGAAGAGAAACTCAACACGGGTGCATGCACTGGCCAGAGATCTTTGCTGCACTCGGTGGTGAAAGAATGCGACGTAAGGCTCCAACTCCAGAAGCAACTGGTTCAGAGTCTGGGCATACTCCTGCACAGTGTCGTCGTCAGTGGACCAACCGGTTCGACAGGCACAGTCTCGTAGCTTCCTCAACTATCCCGTGCACTTTCGCGAATATGTCACGGTGAGACCGAAGCCAGTCAAGCCCTCATCTCCCAACGCTGCGTGCTCTGCCTTCGACAGCCCTGCGATTAAACCAGAAGTTGCCTGGTTTCCACCACCGCCGGAGGCAGACATTTGCCTCGAAGAGCCTCAGGGCCGATCCCATGCTGCAAGCAAGTGTCAACACCTACACTGCCTAGACTATCAGAGAACAAGTGCCTACTTAATTCGCGGAAGTATTCTCTCTCGGCGGTCTGCTGCTGTCTCTTTGTACTGCACAGTCGCACACTTGAGATTCATGAGAGAGCGAGAAACAAACACAGAGACAGTCTGGGAGTGCAAACTACAATATATAAAGATATATACACAATTAAAACATAACAGTAGTCCGATATCTAGACAATCTCCATGGGCGAAGCCACCACGAGTTGATCAATCCTTTGTGCACTTCGCTGCAGACCATCTACAATCTCAGGTTTCGAATCCAGTCAGACATTCAAGCGCAATTCTTCTAATCTCAAACGCCGAATCGACGTTCCAATGCAGGAAGCACATTTACGTTCGGCTTCGTTCGTTTCTGTCGATGTTGGCGCAACCAACCATCCAGGCACGCATGTACATTCAAAGTTCGAGATTTCATTGCTGAGTTGCAATCTCGTTTGCAATCAGCTATGAGTAGTCGTGCAAGAAATCAGCAGCAATTACAGAATCCTAGACACAAGCGATCTGCGTTCTGCGAAATGCATAGGAGGAACATAGTCCACACTTTCACAATACATCCAAGATCATCCAAGAACGAGAGTTCCAGTCATTCAGCATCTTACACGCAGTTGATCGTTGCTCAGAGTTGAAGGGATGGAGGAACTCGGAGACGAAGGTGCAAGAAGCCAGGCAGGAGCTAGGGGAGTGCAGTGAAATGGAGAAGGGGCGACATCAAGAGGATCTGCAAGCGGTGCAGTCTGTATCAGTAGGCTGGCAACCCACGGCATCCAGCTCGTCCAAGAAGACGATGCAAGGTGCACAGGCACGAGCCTCAGAAGCGCCATCTTTATCTGGCACGAGTCCAACATCGCGTCGGATGCCATACTTCTGACAGCGCATCAAGCGGGATGTTGCATGAGAAAGAAGAACCGATCCGTGCCCCTTGCCTGCTCAAAAAACTGTCGGATGCGCTGTGCTCCTTGGCCGACCTCTGCAAAGCAGATGGTAAAGTTCATTGGAGACTGCAGAGCCACAGGTTGCTTGTTAAGGTACTAGGGTAGGGGTCAGACGACCATGCTCACAAAGCAAACTGTCTTCCATAATCAGCACTCGTGAATGGTGAAATAACTGATCCTGCTCATGGCACCTTCAGATCCAAGGAGAACGCGCAATTGCAAACTTTACGAAGCAGCCAACAACTTCCAATCGAATGTCAAGTCGACTTCAGGCGGAACAGCGGTCGCACGGTGACAGTGCGGTGGCCATCGGTAGACCAGAGTGGGTTCGACTTCTCAGTGGATACAAGAAGGAAAGCAATCTTTGTCATGAAACCGCTTCTTAGTGTTTTCTTGTTGCGCCGTGCGCACGAGTCGCCTTGGGGCTATTGCCACCGGATGTGCGTCAAGGGAGCGGGAGTGCGTGGCGAGATCTGCAACCATTCCTTTTGCCGCAGCTCTGCTGAGTCCCCCTGGAGAATTGCAAAGCTTCCTCGACTTTCACACTGGCAAGGAAACTCGTGAGCCTGCAGGCGCTCTGCCACACTAGGCCTGGGGGGCGTTCTTGCAGCGTTGCGTGTGCTAAACCGATCCACGAGGGAGCAGTCAACTATTCGTCCCCGGCCCACCAATGCAAATGATGAACAACTGCTGAGCGAGCTTGTACTAGTTACTGTACAGTGGAAGCCTGCAGCATGACACGCCTGCCTAGCGCTGCAACACCTGCATTTTGAAAGGCTGCAATCTTCGACCCTTTGCAGGTCGGGGCCCCGGCAAAAATTTCGACGAAGGATGCCGAACTGGCGTAAAGAAACGGAACACCGGCCTGCGCACCCCAGGCGCGCCACATTGCTTACTCTTTGAGGCTGGGATGGGCTGCGTCAGTCCGTTGATGCAGTGCTTTCCCCAGGCACGGGAGCACTTTCTTGGTGATCATGGCATGGCTTGCGTGCCTCGCCAGCAACTGCACGAGCCATGAGCCTGGTCACTGGGGCGGAGTTAGCAGAAGAACCGTCAAGGGAAGTGTTCCCCTAAGCCCTTTCTGGCGCCCCGACGTCTTTCCAGTACCACTAGGACCGGCCAGAAGGATGCCACGGGGTGGCCGTGCTCCTGGTCTCCCATTGCGAGCTGTCGTTAAATCGACTGTCCGCGGTTCCTGCTGGGGCAAGGACCTAAAGCATAGAATCTGTTCGGATCGCCTGGCTTCGCAGCACAGTGTCATAGTGTGTGGGTGGTCTGACGCTGCCAGGCGAACGCAAATACGCAATGACCTCCTGCCTCGGCGGTGCACCAACCGCAAGGGCTTGCATTCCCTTGCACTCTTGGAGAGAAGCTGAGGGACACGCAGCTCTTCCTTCGTATTTTCCATTCCTTCGCGAGGCTTTGTCTACACAAATACTGGCAGGCTGGTGGAGCAACACCAAGCCCGGCCAGCCTGCCACGTCATCAAACGTTACCGCAGGTCGGCGATTGAAATCGCGGTTTTCCTGCAAATTCTGAGAAGGTTGGGGAAGCAGCATGTGGCGCGAGCTTCTGCACGCCTCAAGATGCTTGGCCGCGAAAGTCTGGCCGTTGCTTCTAAAAAGATACCTCCCCCGGAGTCACTGCAAGGACTTTCACAATGAGAGCAGCGAGTTAATCAGGAGCGCACCACAGAGCGCCCAAGGAAGCCACAAGTCCACCAAGATCGATCAACAGCGAGAGCCTCCGAGCATTCCGTTGGATGGACTCCAAGTGGCCACAGCGACAAAATCATGATCTGTCGTGTACTCTAGCCACCAGCCATGCACGCGATCTCAAGCCTGTTGATCTCAGAGTCAGATCCTGCTGCCACTTCTCGACACTCGAACTGCACGTCAGAGCGTGATCGGAGCTCCTTCAGGGTGCTACATACTCTGCACGAAGCAGCAAACTCCATTTCTCCTCACCGACACTTAGCACGTTCGTTTTCGACAAGTAGTCCACATCTCAAACACGCTCGAAGTTGCAATATGCTGGCATGCACCCCGTGATGCTTTCCAATTTTTCCCTCGCTTCTTCACGTCGATTCGCGGCTTTCCGTGGGGCTCGCCTTGTCCTGCATTGAAGTGCAAGAGAACAAAAAGGAGATGCAAGGAGGAAGAAGCCGAGTGCCACACCGGCCTTGAGCTCGACAAAAAGAGCCGATGCTTCGCAAGTTCTCAGCGGGGAGGCCGAGGCCGGCGAGGCCGGCGAGGCCGGGGCTTCCACAAGGATGCGGCCTTGACACGTCTCAAGTGCTCGCAAGTGCTCGCCGCATGTGCCTGCTTCGCTCGCTTCGCTCCCACGGGCCTTTCAAGAAAATCTTGCGACCCTCTGCACGGTCCAGCGTCACCTGCACCCAACCCCCGCATCACGCAAGCTAATCTTAATGTCCCCGATGCATCCGGGGCACGATGCACACCTCAGATCTTTCAGGCCCAGTCTGACATGTGACATATGCGACGACATGTTGAGCCGGAAAGGCAGGCCAAGCAACAATCTGCGAAGGCAGCGGTGTCATCGCCTGACACAGCCACGGATATAGCCACTAAGGGAAGAGTAGCAAAGGGCCAGCTCAAACAGTTGCAAGTCCAGAACTCTTTTTCTCCCCAGCCTTGTAGTCCACGTGCAGATACCTGGCGCTACAAGCTGCAACACATTGAGCTTTTCGGCTCCTTCGTCTGCGGACAGCCAGACACAGCACTTCCCAGCCAAGGCTCGCTGTTGCCGCCCGTCCGCTGCGTCCCAGGCTCCGTAAGTACGTGTTCGTGAACGCCCCAAACCTCGCGGCATCGGCTGTGCTACACTTCGAAATGCCAAAGGCATCACTGGTGAAGACTTGCAACATCTGTTAATCAGTCCCTGCACGGCGTCATGCCATCAAGGTGCGCATCATCGATCAAAGCCGCAGAACATCCACCATGACAGCAGCCTGCTGCGCTCTAGAGATTGTGGATTGCAGGCAGAAGCAAAACCTATTCGCCCCACAATGTGCGCCTGGTGGCCCCTCCAGCGTCGTGTCCAGAGACCAGTGAACGAAAACTCTTTGGATCACATCCTCAGTCCGGGCTTCATGTGCAAGCGAAACTGCTTGAAGGTGACAGGAAGCCACACGGACCTTGTCATCTGCCTGCCGATGTGCCAAAATGGGCGATATACGCTGCATCACGACGACCAGAAATCAAGTCCCCCGCTTGAAAATAATAGACGGCCTGGCTCAAGCCTGGAGGCTGCACAAAATAAAGCCGTGAATAAGTTCCCTTGCAGCTCCCGGCCGAACCCGAAGACTGGAGAGTGCCGTGGAGGAAATGCAAAGGAAACTTCCTCGCAGTCAAGCGACTTTCAGATTCATACTTCAGAACATGAAGGTCCTCCGAGGACGGAAATATGCCTCTGGCCACCGCAGACCACTGGACCACTCCAGACAAACTCGAAGGACATGAAGTCTCAGCCTTTGGTTCCTCCGCTGGCGTGGTGTCCTCTCTGTGTAAGTCTCCTTTGAAGCTACATTGCTCCGACATACTCAGCTCCGTGTGCAGGCGACAGTCCTCTAGCACTTGCTGAAGCAGCAGGGGCAGCGGCTGCGACTCGGGATACCGGGCCTCAGCGCTGCGATGCGCTGCGTCTGCAGTGACTCAGCGCATCCTGACACAACGAGTCCAGTGGCATAGCGCTGCCGGAAGGCTTCAGGGACCTGACAGGCGACGTGCAGAAGAGGTGAACTCCTATCGCCCAGCGAGCGGCCTTGCCGTCATCCAAGAAATCTTCGCTTTGCACCACTCCTTTTCGATCTTCATTGCGCGAAGACGGAGCAAAATGCCAAGATTACGTCCTAGCAGGCGCAGCAAGCCATTGATCGCGCTCTGGCACATCGGTGAAAACTTGCGAAAAATGAACTGCTGCACTGTAGAAATCGATCTGCATGCGATCTCAATATCTCGACGTGCCGGAACAAGAAGAACAGTGCCACACGGCTTTTTCACACGATTTGTAGTCACACTGGAGCCTCTGAACCAAAAAGCTGCGGGGCCACGAATAACACTGATAGACTCCCTGCACCTCCAGATGAGGGTGCAACACTGTAGATTAGCCTGGCTTGGCGGCATCGGACGAAGACTGCATCACATGCAAGGTCCTCAAAGACACCCTGGTGGCTGCCTGGCCTTGCTGTTGGATCACGTGCAAGATAGCATTGGCACGAAGCACGGGCAAGGCTCCAGCAGAAGAAGGGTCTCCATGGATTTCTCCACCGGCAATGGAGACAACGCAGATTTACCTTTGTCGTGCAAACTTTGTGCAAGATCGCACTCGTTAAGCCTGTTGAGCCGGCTAAGCTCTGCAGCGCGCCTGACTGGCTGGCCAGGGTTGTCAGAGTCGGAACTGCCGCCTGCACAATGCAGGGGGTGCTTGCATTCTAACACTCTAACTGACTGCAATCTTGTCTTTCTATATGCCATACGTACACATCGGCGTTTCTGTTCGTATCTATGTACTCACTTGCTAATGTGTCTGCTCTGTCCATACGGGCGGCAGCTCCAACACGGCACCTTCAAGAGCAAAGCACCTGCCGGCGGGCGGTCTGCAAGGTAGCTGACCGCCTGGCAACAGCTTTGAGTTGCGGATGTCGACACTAAGCGCTTGTAAGCAAGGCCGGTGTGTCTGTAACTGCCCCATCTCGCAGCAACGAGAGAAACTCTGAAAGGGGAATCCGTGTCCTGCACAAGGTTTGCATCTCCCAGTTCAAGCTGAAGCTACAGACAGTCGGAGACGGCTGAGATTGGTACACTGGGGGCGGGCCCTGGCACTGCAGCCGCAACCAAAGCATGTAGCGCTGGAGACAGTACCAGTAGTTGCAACAAGCCGGCTGGCAGCCTCCAGGCCTTAAGCAGCTGTTCTTGGTGTGCTTCGAGAAACCACAAACAATGAGCCACCGACTGGGAGTGGCCTGTAGCGATGCTTGGGAGCGCATCCTCTGCCACGCTGCGATACAAACTGGGAACCCAAAGACTTTGCAGCGTCGAAGACCTGCCCCATGCCCAGTAGGCCAGGCTGGCACCAGAAAGGGCAGCGACGAACTGCGCCGGATCCTTCGTCGCTGGAAGTCGCCAGATGAACGCCGGGCTTCGGGCCCTTGGCCACTTCCCAGTCGCCGCCGTCTCCATCTTGCTCACCTGCGACGTGGAAGTGTCGGCAAACTACAAGCATGCAGAAGCACACTTCAGACCTGCCGAGAGTTGTCGTTCCTGCGATATTGATGCCAGGTGGCTGTCTCCGCGTTTTCCGCTTCTTCGCCGGATGCCGAAAGGCCACAGAAGCACCTTCGAGCACACCAATGATGCTAAGGCGGATATACCAGCTTTTCGGACAATGTGTTGGGGCTCTTTCCTCGGGGAAACTCCCCTAAACCTCTCCCTGCTGTTAGCTGTGAAAGGGGAGACCGACCCTTCCGGAAACTACTAAACACCATTGAATGCACCGGTTCAGGCGAAGGCAAAGAAGTCACGACCCATTTAAACACATGGGCCAACCTGAAGCAATCGACTCCCAGTCATTATCTTGTGGCTTCCCAGTTTGGTGAGCTCCCGCGTCCCTCTCCACGAGTGAGCGCAGGCCGCTAAAGAGCTTTGCCGATACTCTTCGAAACGATTTTTGGGGGCTCCGATACACCTCATAAAGGCGTTTTGGGCATAAGCCTTCCTAAAGGCTCTTGGGTGCCTCTAGGTTGTTTGGGTTGCCTCCAATACATCTTCCAAAAAACTTGGTTTTGGTGGCTCCGATGCACCTTGTGGAAGGGTCTTAAAGGGGGCTCAAATAGACATTTATCATGGGCTTGGTGGAGCTGCCGTGAGGGCCCACTGACTCCTTGTTGCAGGTACACTGGGTCCAAAAATTCATGTGTGGCAGAGCAATCCTCGTAAGTTGCGCGTGAGCAGCGCGTGACTGGCAGTCCTCTTTTCCAACCCAGAGCCCACCATGGCACACCCCTCACCAGCCATCTGAGAACATAGCCCATGTGACACGGTATCTGGTATATGGTATCACCGTTTCGCAGCATTCCCAGGCAGTGTTGAAGGCTTGGGGTTGAGGGTTCAGCTTGATGCCCCAATCATGCAGCGATTGCACCGAAGCCAATGCGGCTTTCCGGCAGCACAGCTTGGCACAAGAAACACCTCTAAAGACTGTAAAGACTCTGTAAAGGGTAGGGCTGTTGAGTCGAGGGTTCAGGTTGGCAACGGTTGGCATGTCATCGGAAATCAAACTCTGCAGTTTTGCAGGCTAACCCTCCGAGCAAACAGTATCGCCCCGATGCCATCGCCGAAGTAAACGGACACAAAACACATCTCGAAAAAACTGATTTGCACCAAGAGCCTTTCGGGCAGCACAACTGCAAGATCTACAGCTTTGAAACGTCGGGTCTTAGAAAGGACCGACTGCCTTATGACAAGCTATTCGGCTTCTAATGCGCAGGGAGAGCTTGTGACGATGGGGAGAACCAGCCATCATGCTCGATACACCGTGTAAATGCAAAAATGCCATCAAAGATCAAGCGTGCCATGACAACTTCTCCTCCCGATACGACTTCCTAAACTGCGTCCCTGCTGCGGACAAATCAAAGAATCCACCGCTGAATACATGACCGGGCTTGCATCCGAGATCATTTCCCGCGGGTAAATGCAAGTTGGAGCGACTTCTCTGCAATCGTTCCCCCATGTACTACAATTGACAAGGGTCCTGGCAAAGTTGGAGACAGAGTTGGAGCGACCAGGGGTTGCGGGAGTATTCATACTTCGCATACTCAGAAACATGAAAACGGTCTTCTGAAAAGGCTTGGCTGGGACAGTCGTTGTGGTTCTGTTTACCAAGGTTAAGTGGTTACACACGAACTAACTAAAACAGCTCATCTGCTGATGGTTCATAGGAGCCGATTGCGGCCAGTATCAATCAGGCTCATCGAGGTTTTAAAGATCTGTGACCAATATTTTTCGTCTGCTTCCACGCCTTGAACGCTGAAAGGTAGCGCCTTCCATATTTTCTACCCCCAAGGACTGGTATCCAAACCAATGCCCAGTTTAGACTCTCACAGTTCACAGTACACATCTACTTCGATGCATTGCCGGCATTTCCTGCCTCAGCTGCGGCTGTGAGCACTGTGCGCATGTCGGCTCGCAAAGTCTCCCGGGACGGAGAAGTTGTCTGTTTGCTGGTTTATGTACCTGCCGTCTGCTGTCTCGGCTGAAGATGGTACAATATGCTTTGTTGCTTTGTGGTGTTGTGCTGGAGCTGGCATGACACTCCTGGCATTTTGCGACATTTGTGCATGTGGGATCGGATCACAGCTCCATGTTGTGCCAGAACTCAGTCGGACATTCGTGAGACAGCTATCTGCATCCTACCAATTCAACTCAGAGTGATATTTTGACATGTGCGCCAGCTGGTTTTGTGGAACGAGGCCACTTTTCGTTGCTACTCCAGCAGCACGCAGTGTCAGGCGATCCTTGGATCTGCGAGCTACTCCGATACTGCTCATCACCTGCCAAACCATGCAGCTCAGTCTCCGATACTCGATCTTGCCAGCAGTGGTTGTGTACCTGCGCCAGAGTAACGACGTACACAACTACTTGCTGGTCAGTTCTGACTTACACACGACTCTCGTAAGATGCTGCCAGAGGACTTTCTGTTGCGGGTGCTGCGACAACATGATGTGGCAGGCATGCTCTCCAAGCATATCGTTGGTTGCGCTCCATAAGCACATGATTCGAAATCACAGCGAAGACTTGGCGCCTAGATGCTTTGTATGGGGTGTAGTTGATGCCGGTGACATCGCAAGCATCAAGCCGGATTCCTCATGGGGCCAGGTGCCATTGCCGCTCATGCGACTGGTCTCTAAATCGCAGCTCAGGCTTCAACCAGAGATTGCCCACCCCTTGATCTGGAATGCCTCAGCCATGCACACGTTAATTCTATGCTTATGCTTGCCATTCTCGACTATCATTTTTTCCAACCGAAACTCTTGCAGTCTTTCTCGTGTGTTGAGAACATGACCAGCTGCGCTGTGGATTTCTCTTCAAACGGAATTTGCGCACTACCATCCTGGTCCAGAGTGGCTCAATGTATCATCCATGACTCAAGCGTCCGATCGATGGCCTTTGGGTTCGTGGCATATGTCAGCGTGCCCTCTGCTTTGCTTTCCTGATTGCGGACACCATCCAGTGTGGCACAGCAGCATCAAACATGTCAACCGGCCTGACTGGCGAGCTTGCCCAGATTCCAAACAATGACCTGCAGGTGGACCGCTGCACTCCCACATCTGCAAGACAACGCCGCTTTGCCGGAAAAAGCTAGCAGCCAATAGACTCGGCTGCACAGAACTTCTGAAGCCTTCGACTCTTCGTCAAAGCGGACGCTACCTCCCTGGCATGCCTTAGCTAGCGACAGTAACCTTGAAGATCAATGCGATGACACATCATACTTCACTGCGCTGACTGGCATCGGGACAGCCACAGGCCCCAGCAAGGTTCGCAGAAGCGATACTTGCAGGAAGACGAACGTTTACAACAAACCTCAATGGCAGTGCACTCAGCATGCAAAGTTGCCCGATCTTCGCTCACGAAGGCTAGGCCGCTCACTTGTCGATCAGCATCTGCTTATGCTGCATGGTCACGGCAAGCTTGGGGCTTGCTGCAATCTGTCGAACAAACGAATGGCCAGCGAATGGGTCTGACAGTCTGACACGCGCGCCCACAGCGAGAACCCCGGCAATCTACGAATCGGAGCACTGTTTAGCTGGCACATGCGGTTGACTATGCAAGACTCTGCCTGCACTTTCCCGTGATCAGAGTGGTAGTTCACGGAGACCGAGAAGTGGAACGGCAAGTTCATGGTGATGTCAGGAATCCAATACTGCGCAGGCCGAGCACAATTATGCTGTGCACGCCCAGTACATCGCTCTCCTTTGCATTCCGAGGTACATTGGCAAGTGAGAACTCTCCATCAGGAGGAATGAAGGATAGCACCTGTGCAAGGTCTTGAGCTCGGCCAAGGCCCAAGGCCCAAGCAGCCTGGAGATTTGTGGCTGACGCGGCATGGGAAGGCCTTGTCCCTATGGTAACGCGGGAGCTTGACCTGCAATCACTCCAAACTCGAGGCACTTTCCAAGCCCAGACTTTAAGGCTCAGCCCGCGGCACAGGGATGAAATGAAACATTCTGCAAGATGCTTGGGTTGCGCAAGCTGAGCAACACCTGAACCGAATGCGCATTTTTGCCAAAACAGTCCAGGCCGAAGGGCGCACAAGTGCCAGGCTTCAGGGATACCACTCAGCTTGCTGGTCATCAAGACTTCGCCGCTGATACCACCAGAGACCTTCAAGCACACAGCAAGATGGAAAAACAGACGTACATGCCAATAGTGTAGGCCACTGGCAATAATCCCGCTTCCATTGCATGTGCAGCTGATCGTCTCTACGATGTCTACGTAAACCTGATCGCATTGAACTAGGAGCTAGATATGCTGCACACCAGCAACTTCGCGCCGGCAGCTTGTCACATTCTGGAGCCACGGCCTCGTTCGAGCCATATGCAACGTTCTGCTTTCGCCACCACACCTTCATGTCGAAACAGACGCTGGTCGAACTTTTCCACTGCGAGACTCTACACTCTACACACCCTCAGGCTTGACAAGCGACCTCGGCAGAGGCACCTCCGATTTGCGTATGCCTCAGACAAGCAAACTCGGCCCTTGACTGCAGGCAGAACCACGCAGGGAGTCCAAGTGGCGAGAGGGCGCCCAAAGCTGAAGATAGAGCGCCAAGAGGCCCAGCCTCTGCCGAACCAACGGCTTCCAAGCTCACTGAACCTGGCTATCCCAGCCTGGCCAGAAGACTCCAAGGGCACATCCGACAGCACCTGTGTGCTGCTGCCGGAGACCGCCTGCTCAGAACTCTCATCAGTCTTAAACTTCTTGCCAGGCAGATGCAGAGAGCCTGCCTGGACAACCTTTCCGATCGCAGATGGCGGCGCGATTATGGACTCAGAACACCAAATGCGATTCATGTTCACATTCGTCAGCCTTCCCTCGAAAATGGCCTCAAGGCTGTTCAGCTCTGTGGTGAAAGGCAGGCCACTGTCGATCATCTCGTCCAGCAGCAAATACCTCGGGTGTGTAACAATTGACAATCACTTCGCATGAAATATCTAATTATGGGTTTTGTTAGGACTCACACCGATCAGCCTCTCGCTTGCTACAAACAGGGCTATCATTCAAGCCACACTGTCGAGAAGTTTTGTCGCAGCGCATCTTCGCTGACCTCCCCCAAGTATCTGAAGAGTACCTCGAACTTGATTGGGCTGGTGCATGCAGGGGACTATGTGGGCCGTGTGAGGCCTGGTAAACTCTATCCAGCAGCTCGAAAACAGCCAGCGGCGGCTCCTTACTGCAAAAAGCATATCACAGAAGATAGGAGTGGCATTCTTGAAAACGATACTCGTCCCGGCTGCAGCACTGGCCTCATGCGACACAACTGCCAGGAAAAGCATCTTGTCCTGAGGTTGCTGCACGACAGTAATTTCAAGCTGACAAATTGCCAAAGCTTCGCCCATATTCTGTTGCCGCACACATTCAACGCGGGCGTTCGACAAGCACTGTGCCAAATGTGCAGATGTGAAACACTACAAGCTGCAACTTTGAGGCGCAGTGCTGAAGGATGCTGCGTGTTGGGTCCGCAGGCTTTGCAGCAAACCGATGTCGTCAACATCAGGTCTCTTGCGAGCTCAGTAGGTTACACTCGGCATCAACTCGAAGACCTTGGTAGGCCAGTGCTGAGATCAACATCTCCGGCCTTGACCAAGCCCAGGTACATTTGTCCGGCATCATTAAATTTGGAGGCGTGAGATGGTCGCAAACTTCATCCCATCTCCGGTTGGTGGCAAGGCCTGCAGGGCAAATGCATTTGCCGAGCACAGCGATGCGTGTCTAAAACCACCTACGATCACTTGAAATTCTGGCAGGCCCCGGCCCCCATCCAGGGAAAGAGCCAAATGAAACTCCAAAGGCGATTCGGTCCTTTGCTTGCGCGGGTCGTGAACAAAAACCTGTCTCTCTGCCTCTCTATTCAGTTCACCCGCCTAGACGGGCATGAGTTCGCAGATGAGGTCGTTTAGCAACGTGAGCAGACGAATAAGCTGAATTCTTTGTGAAAGGCCCAGCATGCTGAGCGACTAAGAAACGCCTGCATACGCCTGCATCGGTATTTTCTATACCTTGCCCGCTCGTGGCTACTCCTCCCTTGTTTTCTTTCGCCAGAGCTGTGGTGGAGAGTTGTGGCCCTTTTTTATTCTCTCTCTCTCTCTTTCCCTCCCAATCTTCCTCTACGCAACTATCTGCGGTTGTGTGCGCCGTCTGTGCTGGGCCCACCGGGTGGCAGGGTGGCGGTATCCACGAGACCGCGCTCGCGTTGGTAGCAAGCGGCGTGGCTGTGTCCTCCAGGTCGGCTTGTGTAACTGCCGCAGCGCGCTCTTCCGTGGGTGGTGGTTCTCTGGGCGGCTTCGCTTCACTTCAGTTCACTTCACTTCACTTCACTTCACTTCACTTCACTTCACTTCACTTCACTTCACTTCACTTCACTTCACCTCACCTCACTTCGCTTCGATTCGCTTCATGCCATGTCACTTCACAGGAAAGGAATCCGAAGTAATCGGACTCGCACCAAGTTTCCGAAACTGACGTTGTGGCTGTAGTTGCGTGCCGCTTCATGTTGCAAAAGAAAATCAGGCTTACTGATACATACCAGCAAACGCGGATGCATGTGTGGATTCCTGAGAAGGGTACTAGCGCGCAAAATTTTTAAGCAGCAGCTGTCCGAAAAACTGTCGCCATTGTTGCTACTGCTGCTGCTACTGGTGGCGGGAGTACAGGATGTCCCGCTGCTGCTGCTTGCGGGCTCGAGCCCCGTGTCAGTGCCATGAAGCGACGCCCACATATGTTCCGCTTCCAACTGTCCAGCTCCGGTTCGTCAGTAAGTTCCTTAGTCCCTGTGACATCCATGCTCCCCCTTCGGCTCCCTAACTCAAGTACAACAATGTGCCAACTCTCGTGAGGGACGTGCTGGGGGATCACTGTATCTGACCAGGCTGCAAAACAACGAGCACAAACGGGTCTAGTTCAACAACCGCACTGGGCCAAGCAGGATGAGTGCTGGCCAATGGGTACTGCATGAGATCCCCCATCGAACGGCAATTGTTGAATGTATACTGTAGTGTGTAGTTATGCGTGCCGTCGCCCCCTGCTTAACGGGCTGTAACAAATTGACAAAGGACCAGTAAAGCAAAAAAATGGGGTTTCGACGCCTTCCATGCAAGCGGCTATTGACTGTGCAAAGTGGTTTGCTTAGTTCATCAGGAAGGCAAAAAGGCGGGCATACCTGGTTCAACGGCCCGTCTGGATTAGGGCGAGACGAAATTGCAACTGCAAACGTAGGAGCACGCATTGAACTGTCCCCCTACCTACCGAAAAACAAGACGCACATGGTAAACAACATCTCCCTCAACTGGCACACTGCAAACTGAATTTTCTGCATCCCCCGCGCTCCCATCACTCACTAAGGAGTTCATTCTCCTCGGTCGTGGCGATCCTGTTGCTTCCCGCATTCTCTGCATGCTTGCTGTCGACGGAGTCGGCATTTGTCTCGAAAGTCAAATTTGCTTTGCATCTTCCACGTTTCTTTGGTCTGGCCACTATAGACCCGCGGGTCGGAGGTTAGCTGCGATTCGCTCTCCTCCGCATGGATGTCGCGTTCCTCTAGTGGTTTTCCTCCCCAGCCTCTCTCGATCGTCGTCTTGGTAAGGGTGGCCTTTCCACCATTCCGGGTAACCGCCCCCTTGTCCGTGTTGGCATCCCCCGTCTCTTCTTCCACGTCTGTTGGATACCAGCTGCACTCGGACTCTGAAACCGCATCGCCATGATCATCATGTTCCAGTACGTGTAGGCGGTGTGCCCAAGGGCGGCGTTGGCTCCGTCTCTATGTTGAGCCACTCTGGAGTTGAAAGGCCAAGGATCCTGTCGGCGTTTTCTTCAGATGCCCCCGCAAGTGGCGGGTGATCCCCCCTTTTTTTGAGGCAGGCTTCGTATATTTGTTCCACCCACCGTGGGTCTTCTGCAACTCTTTCGATAAACTTGTAAGGGTTGCGGCCACGAGCTCGTAAGTAGCAAAGTGCCACCGCCTTCTGGTGTTGTTGTGCTTGCCGTTCTTCGTGTCTCTTCCGCTGCCTCTGTGCGGTACACAGCATTTCCCAGCCAATCTTCAAAATGCTTCCTTCGGTGACCACCTGATGGGCCGACTCCCCCACGTCACGTTGACTCAGAAGATCTCCCGAAGCTTGAGTGTGGTTTCCCCCGTGGCAGGATCTTGGCTTTGACGACTTGCTGGAGGCACTGCTTGTCTTCGGCCGTCGAGAGGACTCCCCCCGCACGGGACGCGCGCTTTGCTCCGGTGGTAACTACAGTCCTCGGCGCTCCCCCCCTTTCAGGAGGGCTCCCTTCCTTCGCATGTTTGTAGTTGATCGTGGCCTTCCCCGTCCCACCATGTAACGGGCATTGGGGGTTGCTGCGTTCATGGATTTTCCGAAACCCAAATGTGCACGTTCCCCCTGCGTAGCGGCACAGGCGGCAAACCTTTTCCCTTCCCTTCTTCTGTCTGCGGGGTTCTCATCACATTAACCGCTGTCTGGGGCTTTGTTCGAGCGCGCCATCGGCGGAGTCGAACTCGTTGCTGAATGCCAGGAACAGGAAGTTCTTGGGCTCCACGAAGATATAGATGTAGTACTGTGTAGTATGCTCCGTCCCCCTACGGGCGGGCCACCCCCGAAGGGGGCCACGGTCAGGTTCTGGAGAAAATGGGCATCGGGCACAGGACTCAAGCACTGCTGGCAAAAGTGTGCAGGCTCCCCCTAGGTGAACAGCCTCCGGTCAACCTCACACCTCCCCCCGATGCAAGGAGGCGGCACAGGCCTCCAAGCAAACGTGCAGTACTTGAAGGCAAACGACTACCTTCTTTTTTTCTTTCTGCGGGGCGTAGGGGTCGATCACTCGACCCTCAGGCCTTTGGCCACCTCTCTCTTTCTGTCGCTTCTTCTCTCCTACAGTGTATCCTATCGAACAATCTTGTTCATTGTTCCGGGGTGTCTCGCCCGAAGCTTTGATGTCTGCAATCGCCCCTGACGTTTGTTTATTTAGGTGAACCTTCATTAAGGAACTGAATACATACTCTGCGTGCTGTGCTGTGGCGAACAGCAGTCTTGCACCTGCGCAGGCATCAATCTGGCTGAGACCCACTCCGAAGACTTCTTGACAGTTTCGACTGCGACCCATGTCGTAGGGATTTCGGAAGAACCTTGCTTGGCAAGCATGAGAACCACCAATCTGCAGGGCAGGCTACGGCATGCGGCCGGCACAAGGAATCACATGCATGTCAAGTTGATGTGCGGGAAAGCATTGCAGCAGATGGACTCGCCATTATATCTACTTTCTCGCCGTCTCATCATGTTGATTTGGAACTCGATCGTGGTTTGATTTGTCATCACCTGGTCCGCGCACCCGTCATGGGCACGCGAGCAGAACCCACATGCTGCACACAAATCCGCAGTCAAGTAAGTCTATGACCAGGAAGGTATGGAATCCTCCAAGAAAGCAAACCGCTGCTAGAATCGAAGCACATATCCTTGGATGACAAGCCCGTTGCAAGCGCACCTGTTGGCCATGCAACTGAAATTACAGTTCGCTCGACGTCTCAGATGGGCACATCAACGCCGCAAACATATGCCACGGCTCATGAAAGAAGTCACAATGCATTGGCGAAAGACTCGTGTGCCCTGCCGAGCCCAAGTGAATATTATGTCATAGAAAAAGGTACCGAACACCTCGGACGGTTGATGAGCTCAATTGCTCTAATACTCTGCTATGACGCTGGCATCGAGTGTAAGCCAAACACGCAGACGATGAAGAGGCAAGCCATGGCCAAGAATAACAGAAAGAGGCAGAAGTATCTGTAGTTCCCAAAACCTGGAATTTGCCAGCGAAGAAGGGGCCAAAAGCACAGCGCTAAACTCAACAACGGGTGTTCCAGCGATCCAGGCAGTCTGAAAAGCATGATAGTGGCTGCATGCCAAGATACCAACGCAATTGTTAATCCACCTTGGTCAAACTTGTGCTGACCGTGTTGAGAGCCGCTCGTGACGGAGCACTGGTGCAGCGCTTGAACGCCATGGCACGGACAGTGATGGTCCATCTTCAGGACGCACACCCCGCAAATGCTGCAGTGGTGTGCTCGCGGTGGCTTCAAGCGAGCACATTTGGGGCATTTCCTGCAGAGCAAACGGCATTATTCTCAACAAATGCAACTCTGCGTCACAGAAACAGCAGCCTCGGCACGACTTCAGGATTCTCGGAGGATTCCATCAATGACACTTTGGCCTGCACAATACAAGCTTCAGTGCTGATGGCCGCGCATTCTCGGGTTATAGAGATGTGACATCTCAATGACAGTGCAACAAAAACAAACATGGTCTGCATGCAGCATCCTTCTCAAATTCTGGTGGCAGGCCCG